TTTTTTTTTTTTTTATAAAAAGGGCAAAAATGTAAATTGGGGTGCGGTATTTAGCAAAAAGGGTGCGGTATTTAGCAACATGTGTCAGACGCATGATCCTATGTGCACTTCCAACTTTCTTTACTAAATCGTTGGTGTTTGAATCACTTACATATTGTTTTGTTTATTTGTTTTGTATATTTCTCATAATTGTAAGATAGCTTAGTGCAATTATCTTAGATTCCGTTTGTTTTGAGGATTTGAAATCCCTTGATTTCAAAATTTTTGAAATATAATTTTTTTTAGTTGCACACTCCTTGAATGAATGTGTTGACAATATTATAAATAAATTGTCTAGCTCGTACTGATGGTGTTGACTCGTGATGGTGATGAACCTAAATAATCGCGGACGGCGTGGTCGTCAACGGTGATAAACAGTGGATTTCAAATGACTAAGTTTCAGGAGTCATTTCAAATCCTTCAAAATAATGACTAAAAAACATCTAGCATTAATTTGAAATCTTCCAACTTCCATTATCATCCCAACATGCATGAGCATTTGAACTTATAAATTTGAAATCTATGGATTTCAAATCCTTCAATAAATTCCTCGAAACAAACGGAGCCTTAGGTCATTTGTTTTGTTCTCAGTTTGGTTACCACTTCAACTAGAAATCAATATTATGATTCAGTGTTTGGAACAATACAGATCTCTCTGGTTTATGGTTTATGCTTCCTGGCACTTTGTCTTGTTTATTTTAGTATTGTTGTCATGTTGCTTGATGCTCAGTTTATTGGGGTATCTTTGCCAATAAGCAACTGCATCTGGGTTATTTCGTGTGGGTTTTAATTGTGTTGTTAGTATGTGTTTTACAGAGTTACTTTTTTAGTTGGTTTGATGGGGTGGTCCTACCTCTTAGGGGTGAACATGGGTAGGTACGGTTCGTAAATTGAGAAATCTCCGGAACCGTACCAAAATTCGGAGATCACTAAATTCAGTCTCTGGAACAGTACCAAAAAATTGGGACGGTCCGGTTCGGAGATTTTAATTTTCGGTTCGGTTCGGTTTGATCTTCGGGACTATCGGAACAGTTTGGTTCGATATGGTTCGGTTCGGATCTTCAAAGATTTCTTTTTTTATTTTTATTTTTATTTTTCTGAATGACTACTTAGTTATATTTTAATTTTTACATGCTTTAAAAAAAAACCACATTCATCAATATTTCTGTTGATGTGTGAAAATGTCACCAACAATAAGACGAACCGCACACTAATTTTGTGTACTCAGTTCGGTCTGCACGAACAGAAATATTCTTCGATGTTGAACCGAATAGGTGTTGTAATCGTGATTTTCGTATATATATTATTTATGAGAAGAATATTGTTTTACTTTAAACTAGTATGTGGCCCGTGCGATGCACGGAAAAATAATATTATTATTATATTATAAATTAAATATATAAATAACATTAATCATGATTCACCCATTATTTTTAAATTAAACTGAGTTGGACACAGTCCAACTACATGGACCGAGAACCGCTTTATAACCAGTCTAGTTCGCTTCAATAAAATATTTGCTATTGAATCCGTCAACACCAATCGGTTGGACTGGTAAAATCGATACGATTTTCTAAATAAATTTTGTTACATTTAAAATTATTTTAAATAAAAGTACATATTTAAATAAAATAGAGAATTATAAATTGTTTATCAATTAGTTTAAACATTTGAATTTATAAATTATTTAGATATTTAAGTAACACATTTTATTTAAACTTATTACAAAAAGTACTCTATATATATTAAAATGTTTATAAATTAGAATCTGAACAAACCAAAAATGATTTCATAGAATAACTTGATCGTATAAATATTAATCATTAAACATGTTGTCACAAAAGTATTATTAATATGATTATTTGAATTTTGGACAATTGGACTATATCACATTCACGTAATAAAGTATTTTCAATATTAAAATTTATATTTAGGTTCAATTATTGATTTGGTATGGTAAAACTGATACATAACTTAGTCACCTGAGACCATCTAAGTTGTGTCAAGTTTTTTTACTATTTTAAATATCACCTAAAAGTAATTGAATCAACCTGGACAGTATCATAATTCAAACCCGATTGATCCAAAGAAATTTTCTTATTTTATTTAAATATATTTTATATATATGATTCATATAATAAATGTCTAAACTAACTGATAGTATATTACGATTATAAATTATATATCTAATGATTAATTAATTATTTTTTCTTTATGTGTATTAATAAAAAATAAACATAGTAATTTTTAAAAAATTAAGATGAATTGATATTATGATATTTAAAGAATATTTTTAGCGTTCAATATTTTTTTGAAATACACAAATATAAAGACTTTGATTCTAAAACTTTTGTTATATTTTGAATTGAGATTTTTTAAATATAGGGATCGAGATTTTAATGTTGTTCGTTGTTTCTACGAAAAAAAAATAAAAAAAAATGTGCACACTTAATAGATTTTAGCTGGATTTTTTAAATAATAAAATAGGGTAAAGCTCGAAATTTAAGGTAGCATTTAATACTGTATGATATTTTAAAGAAAAAAATAAGAAAAATAATAAAAGTTACTATTTGTAAATTATGTATTATATTGCAAAAAAAACTAAATTATAAAATTATACTTGTAAGTTTTATGCATTTTTATTTATCGAAACTATGAGCAATATACTCGACTATACACTAATTACATATGCATCTTAATTTCTCGCAATTACGGATGGATACAAACAAAAAAAAAAAGAAGAAAGAAAAAAAACACAATGCTATAATTTTGGAAACATGCATGAGATTTTGTGAAGCTATCATTAAGTTTTTTGTTTTCCAAATTCACAATTTTAGGCTGCATTTAATGCTTGCCAATTTGATGTTTAAAAAAATTCAAAAAAGTTCCAAAAATGGAATGCAATTAATATTGTTAGATTTTTTTACTTATTATTTTTGGTAAATGGTAATTCTTATTATATATATATATATATAGATGTTATATCTCCTTCCTTTTATAGGAAAATTGAGGTCTTGTTTCAAACTTTCAATTTGGGATCTTCATTTACATTTTTATTTTCGAGATATTCCTAGTATATTATGGCAAATCAGCATTAAAGAGAAAATTGCGAATTTGGTCCCAAAACTTTTGCTGTTTCCCATATTTGGTCCCAGGCAGTGCAAATTTGGTCCTTTTAGATTTTTCGTTGCTAATTTGGTACCAAACCGTCTGGACTTAACAGTCTTCTTAGTCAACCACGTTAGTCAAAGTCTGTTTGGTCTAAAAGGAGGAATGGCGGGAAAACTGTGAAGACTGTCCCCTTATAAATAAGATAATCAACAGCAAGATGAATTCTTCATCTCCAACCATTTTCCACAAAAAAAAAAAGAAAGATGAGTTCTTCAAGTTCGTCGATGCGAGAAATCCGAGTTCTTTGTCTTTGCGGTAAGTATGCTCGAATGACAACTTCATGGACGTCAGCCAATCCCGGAAGGAGGTACCTGCATTGCGAGGAGAGAGCTTGCACATTTTGGAAGTGGTTTGATCCTCCCATGTGTGCAAGATCAAAGGAAATAATACCTGGTTTGTTGAGTAAAATAAATCGTCTAGAAGATGAAACCAACCGGCAGCATGAGAGTGCAACTACTCTTGAAGCAAATGAGAAAAAAATGAAGAAGGTGAAGAAGCTGAAAAAAGAAAACAGTCAACTCAAGAAGAAGAACAACATTTTAGCGCTACTAGTTGTAATCACATGGTTGGTGTTGATGTTTAAAAAATGAGCAGATGTATGGTATTTTGCCCTAATGTATGTTGTTTTTGATTTGCCCTAATGTATGCTCTTTATCTGATTTGCCCTAATGTATGCTATGTTTCTGATTTGCCCTAATGTATGCTCTGTTTCTGATTTTCTATGTAAGCAACAAGCAACATATTGCTCTATACTAACTAATGCTTCTAATTTGCCAACAGCCTTATTTCATTCAATTGTATTCTTCCTAACAAACCCACAGAATTGAACCAAAAAAACAAGCAACACCATTGATTGTTCTTAAAGCAGCACCAACAAGTGTATATACACATTGTACACAAATGAAGATAAATAAAACAAATAAAGCAGCACCACTGCATACACAAATGAAAACAAATAAAGCAGCAACACAATTGCTCATATCAAATCCAAAAACAACCACCACTGCCCATTCAATTCAACAACCATTGTTCATACCAATTCACCACTTCATCATACCTAAGTTCAAAAGGAGCCAAAAGATCAAAAGAAACCTCCACCATATGCTACATGTATTGTTCACAGCACACCCAAGTTCCAAGTTCCAAAAATATTCACAAAACATAACCAAAATATATTACTTCAACAAACAAGACACTGCAGATAATGGAGGAAATGAATAGAGGACTTATGGCATTGGGTTACTTGAAGAAGCAGCCTCTTTAGTGCCTTTTCTTGCTCCCCTTGATGTTGTTGCCTATATAACAAAAACAAAAAATCAAACAACCTTTGATTTCATAAAAGAAACAATATAAAAGGAATACATAAACATTAAAATAGAACAAAACATAAGTAACTCACACTCATTTGGGATTGAGGCTGGGATTGAGGCTGACTTGCAGAAAAGAGGGATGCAGGTGGGAACTCATCTCCTTGAGTCAACTCCTCAGCTTCAGCTTCAGCTTCCATGTCAAAGGCACCATCTTGAAGTCCACTTTCAGCCAGCTTCTTCCACTCACAGGTTCTTTGATTATGCCCCTTTTGATGGCAAAACTTACAAGTCATCTGTCCCTTCTATATTTGGTTTTTTTACCATCACCCTTATCTTCACCTGCTCCCATCTTTCTCTCCCTCACAGGCCTACCCCTTTTTCTTTTTCCAAAATTTGGAGGTAATGGAGGAATGTATCCTGTCCTATCCCACAGATTAGGTCCAGATATTGGATTAATGGCTACTTCATACACTTTGGCATAAGTTTCACAAGAATAACATTTATCCACATAGTCCACTGGTTGATGCCCTTGTGCCAATAATGCACTGCATGCATGCTTGCATGGAATTCCAGTTAAATCCCATTTCCTAGAGCTACATGTTCTGTCCTTTAAGTTCACAATGTGTCTATCACCACCACTACAATCCAGCTGGTAAACCCAATCAGTGGATTTGATTGGTATGCAATCACATGACTTGCTTTCATGACTATCTACAATTTTTCTGATCTTAGGACATATCTTCTTACCCTCCCACTTTCTCTTAGCCATGTCCCTATTCTCTTGCAGCCTACTCATCAAGTACTGCCTCACCCATTCCAGCATGGTTAGGATTGGTTTCTGCCTGGCCTCTAGAATACAACTATTGAAGACCTCACATATGTTATTAAGCAACATGTCTGATTTAACAGATGTGGTGAAGTGGGATTTTGACCACTGTTGTGCAGGTTCTTCTTCAAGCCATTCCTTGCATTTTGGGTCAATTTCTCCAACCCTTTTCATTGCCTCTTTAAAAGCAGAAACTGTTGTTGCTTTGGCTGCTCTCCATAAAGCCTTCTTAAATAAAAGTCCTCTGAACCCAGCTGTCTGCATGTTGGCATGTAAATGTCTCACACAAAATCTGTTATGAGACCTGGGAAACACATCTTCAAATGCAGGAATTAGGCCCTTCTGTTTGTCAGATATAAAGGTTCACTTCTCCTCATTAACAATATCCAAATCAGACTTCAGATTCCTCAGAAACCAGGACCAAGAATCTTTTGCTTCTCCCCCAACAACTGCATATGCCACAGGATATGGATTGTTAGAAGGATCTACCCCAACAGCTGTGAGTAGAATTCCACCATGCCTACTCTTCAAATGGCAACCATCAACCCCAATTAACTTTCTACATCCAGAAATAAATCCAGCCTTCAATGGGGCTAAGCAAATGTAGATTTTTTCAAACTTTTTCTGTCCATCAGGACCAGGGGCATCTGTAAGGGTCAATAGGATGGTGCTTCCAGGATTTTTCTCTCTCAATGTTTCAGCATAATCCCACATTTTGGCATATTGGTCTGCATGGTCACCCTCAATTGCCTTCAAAGCAAACTGTTTGGCTCTAAATGCCTTGTTCTTGGATACATGGCACCTTAGATCACCAATTGCATCTGTCCTGAAACCCCTGAGTGATCTTTCAGGGTCACTTCTGAATGCTTCTTTATATTTGTCTATCCATTTTGATGTCAAATTTTTCACTTTCCAAGATCTTGCACAAGAGTGCTTGTAATTGTAAGATCTTATCATGTAGGCTTCTTCATTGGTCACTTTAACGGCATTAATTGCCCAGGGACACCCATTTACCTCTTCATAACACCTAACATAAACTCTTCTTTTATCATTTTTGGTAAACTTCAAGCTTCTGTGGGTTAGCACTCCATGGTTAGCAATGGCTTGCTTAAACATCTTCTTGGAGGGAAACTTCTGGCCAAGTTCAAACTTTGGATTGTTAATATGCCTCTTATTGAAGACATTGCTCTCGGTTTCCTCATTTTTCCCAGTTTGTTCATCTGAGTCACTGCAACTAGAGAAATCATCATCTATCCTCTGTGCACTTGGAACTGGAACTGTCGGTGGACATTTCATCATCAACCTCATGTTGGTTCTCTTTCTGTTTAGGCCCCTCCACACACTCCTCTGCCTCAACATATTCTTCAAAAAGGATATCATCAAAACCACTGTCAGTGTCCCTACTTGCACAAAAGTCCTCATCCACAGATTGGTCACCCTCATCCTCAAGCACACTCCTATCTCCATCACCTACAGGCACACTCCTATCACCATCACCTACAGGAACACCCCCATCACCTACAACAACACCTCCATCACCTACAGAAACACCCCCATCACCTACACTTCTATTTGCTGTTTTCTCAGCAACTAACCATATATGGACTTCTCTCTTCTTATGCCTATCAATAGCCAATAACAAATCTGTTTCCATGGTTATCTCCCTAAACTTTTTGAAGGAGTCAAACCTGTAAAACCTTTTGACTCCACCATAACCCATCTCCTCACAGAATCTACCCAAGTCACCTATGTTAACCTTACTTTTGTCCACATAATCAAATGCACTAATCTCTCCTCCCACATACCTCTGATGTCCTGGAGTTATATCATCCATTATAACCCCATGGTGTATTTTCAAGGTAAGGTAATAAGGGTCTTTGCCACCTGCAATTCAATAACATGAAACAAATAAAAAAATTGATACAATGGACCACCATCACTTGTAAAAATAAACAACATAACAATAAAGTTCATGGACTACCACTGAAATTGTCTACTTGAAAAGGAACATAACAAATTCATGGACCACCACTCTCAGTCATCACAAACATTAGTCCCAGACCACATACATTAATCCCAATGGACCACCACTCATCACTCATCAGTCATTAGTGGACCACATACATTAATCCCAACATTACCAATTACATTGTAAAGAATAAACACTAAAGCACTAATTTATATGATAAAATAAACCCTAAAGCCCTTTTCAAATAAAATAAACCCTAAAGCCCTAAATTATCACGAAAATAAATGTTACCGTATTTCGGGTTTGAAGAACACGCTGCATCCTCTGAGCGAAGCATGTTGCACTGCCGGCGTCTAATTTCAGTTTTATCTAGGGTTCATGTCGATTTTTGTGATGAATTTGGATGAAAATCTCTGCCCTAATTTTCGCAGAGAGAGAGAGAGTTTTCGGTTTTGTGTTTTCAGAGTGACGGTTCGATTTTCTAACAGATAACAAATTAAAAATAACGACTAACGTGGTTGACTAAGAAGAATGCTAAGTCCAGACGGTTTGGTACCAAATTAGCAACGAAAAATCTAAAAGGACCAAATTTGCACTGCCTGGGACCAAATCTGGGAAACAGCAAAAGTTTTGAGACCAAATTCGCAATTTTCTCCAGCATGCCTTGTACTTTATTAATCTTAATCTCGAGACATGTGATGACTCCAACCCGTGACACGTGTTCTAGTTAATAACACGCCGTGGGATCACAAACTCCAATGTCTTATCCCCATTAATGGATGTGGTACGGGTAATCTAAAGAAATCATTGATACCAATCGGGTACCCCTTTGTACACATGAATCCGAACTAGGGCTAAGCATGGGACTCGAAGAATTCCCAACCGTTCCGAAATCCTAACCAAAATTACTCTGAACTGAAAAATAACCGTTGACCGTTTGACTTTTTCCGAACCGAACCGAACCGAAAAAATAATTGGTACGGTTCTGGAGATTTTACAAATATCCGTACCGAGAACCGCATCGAACCATCCCATACCGTCCGAACCGAAGAACCGAAATTAATAACCAAATTATAAAGATAGATGTGTGTTATTAATATATTTTATGTCAACTTTGATCCTATATAATTTGAAAAATTTTATAATGCAAATAAAATATAGTAATAACAATTAAGTTTCACTTCAATTTCATACTTAGCAATAATTGATCTACAATTGAATTTTTCTTGTTTTAAGAGAAAATATTTAAAATGGAATGAAAGGCTAAGAAATATTTTTTTAAAAAAAATTAAACTTTACTTAAATTTGTCGATACTTAGTCTTATTATATCTTATAACTAACATTGTATGGAAGGTTAAAAAAATATTATTTTAGTAAAAAAGTATATTATATTTTGTCTGAATTTTAAATTTTCAATGTTAGTTGAGCAAATTTAGTCTTAACTAAACTTTAGAGTTGCTTCTAAAGTTGATTTAAAAATAAAATTTTTAGTATGATGAAGTATTGATGAATGTTGGATAAAAAAATAAATTAAAATATAACTAGGTGATCATTAAAAAAAAAATTAAAATTGATTAGAAATCTCCGAATATCTGAACCAAACTGAATTGAACCGTTCCGATAGTCCCGAATACCGAATCGAACTGAACCAAAAAATAAAAATCTCCGAACCACTCGAACCAATTTCTTAGTACGGTTCTGGAGATCGAATTTTAGTGATCTCCGAATTTCGGTACGGTTCCGAAGACTCGTCAACCTCCGAACCGTACCGACCCATGCTCACCCTTAATCTGAATCCATCATGGTGACTCGCATTCGTCTCGTGTGTTGGATCCGTCCATTCTCTTCAACCCTTAACGAGTATAAACCCGTTGGAACCATCCCTAATTTAGTATGAATCCCATCAGTTCGATTTAGACCCCGTACACAGCCCCCCGGGTTCGGGTGATACAAACGGAGTTAACCTCGAATGTGTTGTTCGAAACTGACCTTACAAACGAAACTGGAACAAACTGCTTTATGTATGCCGAATGTTCGATTTGTACTGTTTGCTAAAGAATCAGTTTGGCTTTGCACAGACAGCGCTTCGTGAAAAGATGCGTCCCCTTAATTGCGCTGACAAACTGTTATTATTCATCATGACGTTTGCGAATTTAAGAGCTGAGGGCATTTATGGCGTATGCGAAACGCTACATATCTTGGCACCGTTTCAAAATTCAAATCATCTCACCTCTTCAATGCTGGAATAACAGGCTATAAATATCGGATTTTTTTTCTCCAAACTTTTCCTCACTCTTGCATTCTTTTTTTTGGTACAATGAACCTTCCGGTTTCCGAATCCCCTAGGGGACCGACTAATCCGGAATCGAGCCGGGTAGGACCACAAGGGCGGCAAAACTCTACCTCAAGAGTTTTAACACAGCTGCATTCCCAGGGCTCGAACTCGAGACCTCTGGTTAAGCTGGGAGAGACTCCAACCATCTCACCCACGTGCTCTTGGGTCCTCACTCTTGCATTCTAACTGCTCTAAAACTCCTTTGCACTAAAAAGTATGAATAGTCTCCCTGTCCGTATTTGCTCAGTCCTAATTTAGGTAAGGCTCTTTCTCCTTCTTCTCCTCTTAGTAAAATTATCCTTTTCCATTCGAACATGTCTATTTCTTCGGAGAGCTTCGACGAGGAACAATACGAATAGGCTCTTAAGGGTGACATAGCGGGACGAGAGAGACTTCCCCTTTCTCGTGAAAGTCAAGGAGAAGATCTGTTATTCGAACAGTCGATTGTGGAAGTTCCGACAGGCTTCTGGCGTTGGCCGTATAGAGAATGGCCGACTCCGACTCTATTCAGGTTGGGGTAAGTCTCGAGCGATATGATCGACGATAAGATTGTGAAGCTATGGACCTCTATCCGCATGCTAAGAGAAATTCACATGTTCGCTCCGTACCGGAAGGAACAGATACACTGCCCACTGCACTGATACATAGGGGCCTTTGAGAGATCAATCGCATTTGGGATCCGATTTCCCCTTCCATGAATTCTGTTTGAATACCTCTGAGATTGGAGAATTGGTTTTAGCCAAGTTTCCCTCATCGCTAGGTTGAAGATAATCAGTCTACTCGTGCTCTTTAGCGAGCAAGACTGGGAGCCTCCGAGTTGTGATGATATCCGTGCTCCCGTAAGAAGTTTGGACAACTTTCGATCACGGCTAGGGATGCGACATTCAAGGACCTAATTACCAAGGTCCCCAAAACGATCAACAAGTACAAACAATTGTGGTTATGAGTAGGACGAGGATGGAAAACACCGAGATCAGATGGCGACGTTGGGGCATCTGAATTTCTAACCGTCCCCACTAAATTTGTCTCTAAGATTTGTGAGTTTTGACCTTTTTCGTTATTTAAGTCAAGTATTCTGATTTTGCCATTTTCTGTGTTTGTACTAATAGGTCGGCTTCAACTTTTATAGCAAGGAGTTCTATGGTGCCTGAGCTAAGGGCCTCGTTCATCACCAAGCTCGTTACTTTGTTGGAAAAGAAGCCAGAAGAACGCGAGGGACCCTCATTGGTAGAGGACTCGTATTTGGCTGCTGCTGGTCTCTGTTCTGGTCATCAAGAACCTTCTTGCATTCCTAGTAAGTAGGTTTGATCATCCGTTTGAGGTTCTTGCACTTTAATTTCTGTAACTAACGTTGTTCTATTCGTTCGCTTTTAGCTTTCTATCTGTTGCTCGATTTGAAGGGTTCGAGTTCGGTCAAGGAAGCAAGGAAGAACGAGCCTACCACCAAAAAGTCTAAAGAGACCAAGTCCTCTGTCCGCAAAAAAAAAAAGAAAAAAATAGACGACGATATGGATCAATTGGCCCTTATCGCACAAATGAATGCTGTCGCGAAACAACAACCAAAGGAACCAGTTGTGGATCTGGTTGTTCAAGTGATCGAGTCGTCCGCGGGAGAAGATGAGCATCCACTTTAGAATGTTCGAACAGAGAGTCGTAAATGGGCTAGCGAGACGAGCGAGAGTCAGTCTTCGAAACAGATCGCTCGAGCGGTGGCCTAGGGGGAGGGTTCGGTCGTTGGGTCTGGTGTGCGGGACGGACATGATATGCATTTTGGAGAAAAATATGCGTATGTTCACCAAGACGGTTCAGACACATATCTGAACATCGAACCGCTAAGAACCACGAGAAACAACCGGCTTAAAGGGATCGCTGATGACTTGTTTGTTCGGTACGAGTCGGTGGCGAATCCACGAGTGTCGAACTTGATTGTTTACTTAATATAATCTGAAAATAAAAATGCAACATAAAGGTGTATAGTAAAATAATTCGATTTGTATAGAGCTAAGCTTTTGTACATTGAGATAGACATTTATTGTTATAGTTTGTATATAACGTAAAATTAGTTGATGTAGTGATCAAACATAGCATTAGGATTTAGTTTCATTTGGTGGGTAAGCAATAGAAGAATAATGCAAAATGATAGTACTGAAAGTTAATGATTATTAGGCATATTTGTAACTTTATAAAAATTATCCATCTTGCACGTCATTTTCTAATTACCATCACACTT